GGGCAGTAGCCCTGTGGTTCCCTCCTGCTCAGAGGGACCTTTATTTTCCTTGCTACTTTCTGGATCTGTGCCATAAACCTAGGAATTTTCCCTTCTTCTCTCTTGTCACAGTCTCTCCTGTGGATTTATGCTTTATTTTAAATATTTTTGTATCCTTATCCCAAGTTTCTATAACCTGACTGTCCAGCTCTCGTGGGCAAATCCCGCATGCTGTTCCCCCTGGAGCACCTAGCACACTGCCTGTTCTGAAGCAAATGCAACGTAGATCTGTTTAGATTGATAAGCTGACAGATTGGTCCTCCTGCCACAACCCATACTTTGAAAAGTAGATAATAAATAATTTCCAGAGGATATTTTTTTAAAGAAAAACAATAGGAATCATCTAATTTTAAAAAGAAAAACATCACTTTCACTCAAGTGACAAAGTCTAAACCCAAACCAACTTCCCCTGCCTCTCTAGGCTGACGACATGTGGTTCAACCTTCACAAATTGATGGAATTATGAACTAATGAGTGTGCGCTATGGGCTGCCCTTGAAGTGTTTTTCTTGGGTGTCACCCTCATTTCGAAATGTCTCTCTTGCAAATTTGACTTGATTGATGCAAAATCCACTTTCCCTGTCGAATGCTTCCCACAGTCTATAAGGCCATTTTTTGGGGTCTGTTAACAAGGAGATAATGAAATGTTAACATGAGCCACAGAGCTTCTTTTTCTTCTGAAATGAAATGCACATGAACAACAAGGAAGTAATAGAGGAAGAGGGAGAGAGAGCAGGAGAGAGGGCTAATGAACTCTTCCCTCAAGATCTCACTACAAATTCTTCATCTAAGCAAGAGGTGCCCACCACATAAGCATCCTGTCCTCTGAAAAAGGCCTGAGCTAAGAGAGAACTCAGGAGTTCCATGATTGTGTCAGTCCACAGGATCTAAAGAACCTGGGTGGGTGTCACAAAGGCTCCAGAAGAGAACTCAACAGCAAAGAGGGGAGGCATATTGTTCTCGGGGGATGCACCCAGACATCCTGAAAACAGCTGTTTAGAACTCAGAGAACATCCATCAAACTAATTACCTCTGAAGGGTCCTACTAAAATGAGTGCAATGCCGGAAGAGTACGTTTCCAATGGAAAAATAGAAACCCATCGCAATATAAATGTAGTGTTCTACCCAGGAATTAATAATAAAATAGAAAAAATTGGTTGGTTTTTCTTTTAATTTTTGTTTTTCAATTAACATTTCTGACTGGTGACATATCTTCTCTCTCCCAAACGTCAGTGGGTCCAAAGCCAGCTGACATGTGGTGACTTTTCCCAAATAGCTGTGCATCCTAAGCACTCTGTGTCGAGAAGACTGATCCAAAGGCGTCATTCCTGGTGCTGCCTGACAGATGATGTCTCCAGGCACGCAATCGAAATGGACTGCGCTCCGGCAGTTACCTTCGTCATCAATTCTCAGAGAATTAATGAGCACTATTAGTGCCAATAATAGAAACCAAGGTCAGGGCCTCTTCCTTGTTCTGTAATCCCATTAGCACTGCGCAGGAAGCACGCAGGTCAGAAGCTCTGCAGACCTGACCACCCAGCAAATGGGGCAGCATCTTGTTCCCAGAGAAACTGCTCAGCAGGGACACCCCCCTTCAAAGGGGTGTCGCCCATCAGCGCTGCATGCACTTACAGATGTGGGGGTGGTGGGGAGGAGGCTTGAGACCGCCTCAGCTGCCAAGAGCTTCGCTTGCTGTTGGTGAAGCAAATGCCCACACAAGACAGCAGCGCGAAGCTGGGTCAGGTACTTCCAATTCCTGAACACACATTTTTAAGTCGTGTGTCCACTTCTATTTCACACAAGCTGCTCAGGGAGCTACCCAAGAATTTATTCTTATTTGCATTCTCTTAGATCGGCTTTTATTCCTTTAATTTTTGTTCTAACTACTCTGAGAAAGTTAACCGCGGCCTTGGAACTATGAGTTTGATGATAAACAATTGATGACAGTGAAAATTATCTTGAAATCTAGAGCAGCACGCTGTTGTAATCTGTCTCTGGGTCCCTGCCCTTGCTCCTTAGAGTTCAAATTGCTCTCAAGAAGGGAGTAGCCCTGAGGTCTGAAGCCACCCCAGGGATTTGTATGTTGTCTGTAATAGTCTGTAACTTGCATTTGTTTTCTTAACAGAGAAATAAATTAGCATACTTTTACAGCTACTTCACAATACTACTATAAGGATTCAAAATAAGTACCTAGCACAATGCCTGAAAATTAACAAATCATGGTTTATTGCTATTTTTATTGTTATTGAGCACACAGTTTTCTGTGCGTATTGTGTGTCTGTGTGTCTGTGTGTGTGTGTGCATGCGCATGAGAGAGAGAGAGGTGTCTGTTGAAGAATTTGGGGTGTTATGCCTAGTATATTCTAATAATCCCCCAAAATGTAAGAAAGCAGAAGCATGAATGAGTCAAAATAGCAAGCATCCGAATATTATCTGTGATTTGAAGTATACTTTATATTTTCATCTTAGATGCCAGCATTCCTAACACCCAAATAAATTACTCTTGGCAAAGAAATGGCACTAAGCCTTAAGGTCCTAACCAACCAGGATGAGAAGACTCTCCAGTTCTCCTTTCCTCTTGCCACTGCAAGCCAAGGCCTGGGATCCCCTCCCCTATCAGAATCACTGGTGGAGAGAGTTGGATTCCTGGCTTGAAAATAGCTGTGGTCCCAGATGAAAATACCAGGTGCTCACAAATCAAGAGATCATTTAGAGGTCAGAGACAGCAGAAGAGGAGAGGAAGGAGAGCGCTCAACAAGGGCCAGTCTGGGCTCTAAGCCCTGTTGCCCTGTGAATGGCTCTGCTGTTGCTGTTCTGTATCATGGGATACAGAACCATGACTACAGAACAAGAGCTTCTACTCAGGGACAGCCATACAGCTTCAGAAAGACAAAATAAAGGCCGGGAATTTAATTTCTATCCTTTTCTGTTTCACTGAGAGGAGGAACAAAGGAAAGGAAGAGCTGTGTGCCAATCCGGTGGACCCAGGGCCCCAGGTGAATTGCCAGCCACTGTGTGCCTTCACTTCTTTGATGGTATCAGGGACCTTGTATGATTCATTGAGAGCTATTTTATATATTAATATAGGTAAAATACTATATATACATCTATCCCATAACACAGTGCATACTTGTGTAAGTATAAACCATACGGAGAACAGTTATATAATAACAGATAACTAAGGGATCTATACCATGTTGATTTCCCTTTGAGTAATTCTTACCTGCAAGCTAGATTTTTCTATCAAGACCTGAAACATTTTTGGGTAGAATCAGAAAAAGACACTTGACCTCATCCAGTGTTTCTCTCCTCCCCCAAATCCAACTCTGTATCTAAACAAAGCTGTTTTCCTGCCTGCTACGTGTGTGATGATGCTCTGTGTGGTCCTACAGCTAGTAGTCTTCCTTCAGTTTTAGAAGCAGTACAGGCTTACTCTGCATGGAAATAAACACGTTGGTACCTACACACACATGCAGATGTGTACACATCACTAGTGATGGCAGAAATACTGAAGAGATAATTAAAACATTAATGCTTATGATCCATAAGCACAATCAAGTTTCGCTTCAGGGACATGGACTCAGCCAATATTTTCATATGCTACCTCTAACCTCTCGTAGTAGAAGCAGAAACAAGGTGCTGGTTAATTAACTCACTAACTGTCCTTCATATCATGGTTATGAAATAAGGTTCTGGAGTAGACACCCTTGGGGCACATGGATGGTGGGCTGGGCCTATCCCCCACTCTGCAGATTAGATCAGTGCCTGGTTCCACAGAGCGAGCAACAGCAGAGCTGTTTCAGGTGATTGCATGTCCAGGCAGCAGTGTTAAAGGGAGAAAGGACAGGGAGCAGGTTCCTGGACTGTGAGCTCCTTGGCAGACCTGGCAGAGACCCCGTGTGCTCTTGATATCTGGCCCCAGAAATAGCCGAGTACCTGGAGCAGAAGTGAAGCTGCCATGAAAATGGAAGATTCTGGGTGGTGCCCAGGATGGGAGCCCTGCAGATCGCTGTGCAAAACTAAAGTGGGAGACCAGCCAGGATCTTCCTATGCACCTGCCTCTTGCTCCACATATAAATAAATAATAAAATGCAAACAAATGTGCATTATTTTAGCATCGTGTTACATCAATGCTTTAATTGTTATATTTTAATGTCTCAGTAATTGGGGTGCGTTATACAGGCAATGGAGCACAGCTGTTTAAGCGGCAGAGTTGGGGTTTCTTTCTTCCTGCATTTAAAGTCAAGGTGTACCTCATCACCAGTAGCATCTCAGATTTGGTGAAATGCATTATGTACCAAACATCAGCAAGACCTCAATGCCACATAATAGTCAGTGAAAAAGGAGAGGCCGGGCTGAAGGCAAGCGCTCCTTTAAACAGAGCTGTAGAAGGGTGGGAGTGACCTTAACATCTGCTCTGTGTGGCTACCACCAATCGGCACAGCCCTTCCTTTCCTTTGTTCCTCCTCTCAGTGAAACAGAAAAGGATAGAAATTAAATTCCCAGCCTTTATTTTGTCTTTCTGAAGCTGTATGGCTGTCCCTGAGTAGAAGCTCTTGGGGCCCAATGTTCTGTGGCCATGATTCTGTACCCCATCCTCCTGTGTGCTGGACTCCCCCAGGACCTTCTTAGGTGTCTGTGACGCTCAGCTCCTGCCTGGACACCCGGAGTCAGGACTCTGTGAGTCTCACGTAGTGCTGCATTTAATGCTGGGGCGACTGGTGTGCCCTGCAGTTGGAGGAGCTATGGCCGTGATGTTGGGGAATCACCCATCACCGTAAACACTTGGATTTAGGAGCACTGTTCTCAGTCGCTTACAGAGGACCACAGCTAGTAGCAATGATCATGATTTCAAAAGAAAACTATACTGACCAGGGAAGGAATTCTGACATTGCTTTGTTGTGTGATGGTGATGTCCCTGACTCCTGTTTCTGTTGGGTTGTTTTTTTTTTTTTTTTTTAGCCGTGCCCCATAAAATCGGACGCATCATTGACGGGAGCCCTGCAGATCGCTGTGCAAAACTAAAAGTAGGAGACCGAATCCTAGCGGTGAACGGCCAGTCCATCATCAACATGCCTCACGCTGACATCGTGAAGCTCATCAAGGATGCGGGTCTTAGTGTCACCCTTCGCATCATTCCTCAGGAGGGTGAGTGCCTGCGGTGGCCTTGCCGGGAGACATGGGCACAGTCACTGGAGGCTCCTCGGCCTCCAGCCACACAGCTGTCACCAGAGAACTGTCAGAGTCAGAGGCAGCTCCACTCGCTGTGGTGAGAATCCCAAGCCACTAGGTTTTCTGAAAATTTCCTGGGTCTGGGAGAGCTGTTTTTAGGGTCACATTAGGCTCAAGCTCATTTTCAAAGAAGATAGCGTTATAAACCTGAAAAAAAGAAGGGGAAAAAACCCTATACATTATTAACAGTTAATCTCTGGAGGATTCTTCAAAGTTTGATTGATTTTGAAAAGCTTGAAGAAACTCTATGGCCTAAAGAGCTCATTGAGGAAATGTTACATCTGATAACAAGTCTAATGCCCATGCGGCCTGCGCAGTTCCGCTGTCCAAGGTCTCCCTCCTACCTTGCAACCCCACTCTCAGGGGCCCGCAGTTCAGAGTCCTGATTCACACGCATCCCCATTTCCACACACAAGTGTTCACTCCTGGCTTGTAGCTGCTGGCTCATTAGTGACATTGAAGAAGTCTGTCCCTCACACTTCCTGGTAAGTAAGCTGTGTTGCATCATAGGGAGGCCACGGCCTTCCTTGACTTGGCCCCATGTTTGGCTCAGCTGCCTCCCTATTCACTTTAGGATTGTCTAACATGGAGATACCAAAATGGCTAAACAGCCCTCTGACTAATCGTAAGCAATAGTGCCCAACCTAGGTGATTTTGTCCCTCTAGAGGATATTTGGTGATGCCTGCAGATGTTTCTGACTGCCATGGTTGGGGTGAGGAGCCAGCCACTTGTTACCTAGTTGGTAGAGGCCAACACTGCTGCTAAATACCCCATACACAGGACAAGCCCCAGGGTAGGAATTATCTGGGCCAAACTGGCAAGAGTGCCAAGAAATCCAATCAAAATGGAGAGGAATTTAAAATCTTTGGGCAATGAGAAGAGGAAAGAGTGGTTTATAATGGAATGCTAATAGGTCACCTCTCTCTTGTCACGCAATGAAAGGAAAAGAAAATTCAATGACTGGGGTTTTTTTTAAGCTGTTATCTATAGATACGGATGTGTATGAAATATTCAGTGAAAATAAACTGTCAGCAAGACTGCTTCCTAAAACTCCAGTGTGCTGTCTTCCCAGTCTGAAACATGTTTTCCCTGTCCTTATCCCAACATACAGAGATAATTTCAGTTGTGAATTTGATGGTATTAGAGGGGAAAAGCCAAGTAGTACTTAGAGGAAAAAAAGAAAAGAAAAATAAACAGCTTTCTGAGTCTTTTCTCTGCAGAAAACAGTGGCTCTTAGCCATTATTACTAAAAGGGGCTGAGGACGAGCTTGTAAAACCACTTACCATTTTATGGTTAGTTCTTTACCCACACTTGGGAAGACTGTTAAGACGCTTCATTGTGGTGGAAACTGGTGGCTCAAACATTCTCTCACAGCAAGCAGTGCTGGGGAAATAGGGTACACTTTGGAGTCTTCTCTGAGTTCTTTTTCCAAGTTTTAGCAGAACTTTGTATTGGGTGGGTGGTTGGCCTGAGTTGTTGTTTACTATTTGTTTGGCTTGAGTTTTTGTTTGGTATTTTATTCTATCACCTCTCTGGGTCTCATGGTCTTGATGAAGGGTCCTGGCTCCGGGATGGGTTTTGAGCTTGGTAAGTTTCATCTGCTGTCTGAAACCTAGCAGAAAGGGAACTGAGCACAGCCTGGCGCCTTGGGAGGAGACTGGTCCACCGCCACCCTGACCTCTGCCGCTCTGGTTCCCTCCACAGAGCTCAGCAGCCCCGCCTCGGCCCCCAGCTCCGAGAAGCAGAGCCCCATGGCCCAGCCGCACAGCCCGGGGGCCCAGCCCGCCCCAGCTGCCCCCAGTAGCCCCGTGGCCCAGCCGCCGCCTCCACAGCCACTCCAGCTGCAAGGACATGAGAACAGGTACCTGGGCCAGGGAGAAGTAGGGAAGGTTCCCGGACAGCCCAGGACTCAGGCCGGGGGCACGAGTTCCTGTGGTCAGGGCTGCAGCGTCAAGGTGCAGCCTGCGGGATGCGAGTGCGTGGAGCAGAATGTAACCGAGTGCCTGCCCCTCCTGGAGAGCCCTGCAGTGCTGGGCTCCACGCACTGTCTGAGTAAGGATCGCGTGCTAAGAGGACCAGGCGGGAAGAGCAGAGACGAGGCCGGAGGCCGGGGCAGGTGGCTCGGGTGTGATGCGGTCTGCGTGTCCAGGGCCGACCCCAGACGGCTCTGTGGGCGCATTGCGGGGTTTGATCTTCATCCTGGGTCCCGCGCAGTCGCTGAGCAGTTCGAGCTGCTGGCTCACATCACAGAATTTGCTTTGCAAGGTCTCGCTGTTGCCCCATGAGAAAGCAAAAGGGAGGCTGGGCAGGGCGACAGGCAACGGTGAAGAGGGGCTGCGGAACCCTGGGGCCCATGCAGGCAGAGGCTGGGGGATGCTCCCGGTGGATGGAGAGGGACGAGGGAGGATTTGGGGCGTCGGCAGCCAGGTGCACACTGCTCCTGCCTGTGCAGGTGGCATCCTCCTACCTGAGGTCTTCCGATCCCCGAGCACAGGCACCGTGAACCACCGTGACTAAGGCACTTAGAACTCAAAGAAAGAATGTCATGGAAATATGGCACTGCCTGCTAACTGTGACCATGTGGAACCGGGAGCCTGGGCTGGGTTGGGCCCTCCAGACAAAGAGATGTATGTCCATGTGCTGCTTCCACTCTCAGAAGCAGGGGCGCGAACCACCCCGCAGCAGCCCCGAGGACAGGCCTCTCGGCACTAGGCTTCCCCTGGTCTCAGCGCTTGCTGAGCTCCTGTTTCCTGTCCTGCCTCCTGTGCAGATGGGATGCACGAGACTCGGTGTTGGACTCCCACAGTTCCCTAAGTGGATTCATCATTCACATGGTCATGAAACAGAGCCTTTCCCTGGGCCACACAGGAGGCATTTCTGCAAAGTCCCTATGTACTCAGGTGCTTTCGGGAAAGGTAAATGTATGGCTGGCCTCAGCTGCTTATGTTTTTAGAAAATGTCAGAGCAGAGAAAATGCCTGTGGGGCAAACGTTGCAGAGGTGAGAATTTGACAGCCTGTGAGAAAGGGGAAGTCCGGGCAACTCGGTAATGAGCCCAGGTACGTCTGCTTTTGCTGTTACTGGAGCAGAGGGGGCTGCACCTGCTTCCCCGGGGTCCCTCCTGCATTCAGCAGGAGAGGGGAGAAACCAGCAGTCCCTAAGCCAGCTTCCAGCTCCTCTTCTGGATTTTCCTCCTGTGGATTAATTTGCCATCACATTCAGGGTGCAAGGACGCCCCACACATGGGTGCTGCATCTAGCTTGGGCAGATGACTGCATCCTGGAGTGGGTGAGAAAGCCTGCTCCTCCAAGAAAGCTGGCTTCATGGGGAAGGTCGGAACATGAGAGTGTGCTGTGGGGACAAGAGCTCAATAAGGCCACTGTGGGTCCCTGTCTGCTTGCCTCATCCCTGCCACACTGTGGCCTCTAATGTAGCATTAGTCTTCAGAAGTTCTGTTGCTCTTATTCAGATTTTTATAAATCACCCGTGTACTAGCCCAGAGTTCTCTTTTCTGCAGGACTGACACCCTGGGGAGTACTTGTTCCATTTCTGGGGGTTTTCACAGGCCAGCACTCCAATCTCCTGGCTTACGTCCATCATTGTTAGTAGTAGCTCACTGGCCTAGGAGTGAAGAGATTCAGGCTCACAGAAACCAGAAACACCTCCCTAGCTGCACTGAGAGATGCCTGTTGGATCAGAGGGAACCCAGGCCTTTTTCTGGATCAGACGAGAGTTGTCTCCAAGACAGATACTGTGCCAAGCGTGTTTGTACAAAGAAAGGCCACCTACATCATCAGACCCCATGTGAGAGTGGGGTGGACGATGACGGTCTGGGCCAGAGATATAGCTCAATAGCACAAGTGCCTGCCTGGCTAGTTCAAGGTCCTGAGTTCAATTCCCAGTGCCAAAAAAAAAAAAGATAATCTGCTTCCAGGTTTCTATTTCAAGAGTGAGAGTGAGCAGTATTTAAATACTTAAAGAATATTTAAATAATTCTGTTCTCAGATTTAAAAATAAAAGAGCCACTATGGACTATATTCCCAAATTAAATATCAATAGTAGAACTGACCTTCTTGAACAAGGGCGATTGGTATTTCAGTATGATTTGAAGTAGCCATGGCAGGGGAAGAGGATTGGAACTGACTGCATAGACCTTGAGTCCTAGATGCCCACAGCTGGAAGCAAACCCTTGATGGGCCACGAGACATAGAATCTCGCCTAGGCTGCGCTTCTTGGTCCTGGAACTTCTTCATGCCATAAAAAAAATTGCTAGAATTTGCTGTTAGTAGTCTGCTTGGTCATCTCTGAGTCTCTTTAGTAATGGAATTAATAGCTGTAAATGCTTATATTGTTGACCTTCTTTCATAAGTGAAGGAACTTTAAGAAGTATTATTTTTAACAATTTTGAGTCTTCCTTAAAATGCTTCATGTATTGAAAACACCATGAATTTGACCTAGCCATTGTATCACTCACTTCAAAGTCAGTGACACTCATGAAACATTATCTTTTCCTTCTTAAAGAGTTCTTCAGTGCACAGCTCGCTTGAAATCCAGACGCACGTCACTGGTTAGGATGAAGTTGCAGTGTTTGGTGGCCTGGATGACAGCTGTTGCAAGTTTCAGCTGTTACTTTTTCTCATCATTTGTGCCTTTGGGGAGATCTTTGCATTTCACCCTCTTTTGTTACACCCTGTGACACATCTGGTTGGAAACAGCACATAATGGATATTTCATACCAACACCACACAAATCATGAAAATAGAGTGACTGTGCTAGTACGCGCAGCAGAGTGACATCAAAAGCGCCATGCAAGCTATTTCTAGAAAGGAACCAACACACACTGGCAGATACCACCTGGTTCCGTTCCTTTGTTTAATGCATGCATTTGCATAGCTAAGTTTCTTATTCAAAGAATATTTAAATAATTCTGTTCTCAGCAGGCACACTCTCAGTAGGTGAGTGGCCTGTGGAGGATTAAGCAAAGCCCAAATTATCCAGCTCACAAAGGGAATGTCTCCCCTCTGCAGGGTTAAGCAGCAAATGAGACCTATTTGAAGGGTTGATTAAAATGACTACATTGCCGACCCCCTTCCGGGAACTCCAGATAAATACATCTGTTGTCCTGTACTTTCAACGTGTCCTCACCAAATACTAGATTATACTTGTAGCAATTCTTCAGGCAAGTCCTTTTTAAAAATATTTGATACTGACCATTATCACTGAGACAATAAAGCAGTAAAGAAACCATCTAGTCATCAAGGTAAAAATTCTACTGGTTTTGAGCATTTTTCTAAGATATTTCAGCTTTTCTTTAGTGCTAAATATTTTATCAATTGCTCACACCTTGCACATTAATGTTAAATGAAATTGTTACTCTATAAAACATATTTTTAATCTACCTACCTTCCGGGGTAGCTCGCTGTATACTGTTGCCATGGCAACAGGCAATGAAGTACAGATTTCAAAGACCTCAGTACCACGATGATGACTTTGCAGTTGACCTAAATAATGATCTCCTAGTGGCAGGTCAGGGCTGTGTTAGTCCTGTTGGGGACCTAAGAAACCTCTCAAGCTTAGAGAAGTTTGGATTCATAAAAGAGAGAGAACAGATCTCTCTGGTCTCTGTGTTTATTGTAACTAAGGTCTAGAAGCAATGACAGGCAGATGCTAGACATTAACATTTTTGCCTTCCTCTCCAGTTTATTAATGCAATAGTGCTGACTACTCATCCTGATAGCTAGCATTCAAACTTCTGTGTAAGATGCTTTGATTTTCACCAATGATCCAATGTCTTTTTTACTTCCATAAAAGTAGTCCATAATTCCGCCCACTGCCACTCTTTTATCTTGTAAAATATTCAAAAGATCCAACTTAGCAATTTACAATAGCCCTTAACTAGGTACTTTTAGATTATTTAGAGATCATTTCAATCATGTTTTCACAGAGTAATGAACGATCTCACAAGGAGTGTGTGTGTGTGTGTGTGTGTGTGTGTGTGTGTGTGTGTGCAAGAGACCAAGAGAGAAAGGTGTTGAGGAAATTGGTTTACTGTTATTAGGACAGATTAATATTTTGGAATATATAGTTAGTGTTTAACTTCCTAGATTTGCAAATAGACAAAGTGAAAGAGAGACACCCATGAGTCTTTTTCCACAAAATTCTGGTTGAACCACAATTCTATCTTGATTTCTTGAAGGGCCAAATGAAAGTACACAAAATGGCCTTTGTCAAAGATGTTTAAGTAATGCTTATTATTTAATCTTCTCACAATCCTAAACATGCAGCAAGATGAGTAGGAGCGGCCGCCATAGCTCTTGTGGCTGGATCAGGCCAGGAGGTCATGGGATCATTCTGATTTTCTTAGAATGCTGAGAAGCCAAAGAAAAACCCCTTTCCATTTATTTAGTTATAGGTCAGAAGTAAAAGCAAGACAAGATGTGAAACCAGACATCCGACAGCCTCCGTTCACAGACTACAGGCAGCCCCCACTGGATTACAGGCAACCTCCAGGAGGGGACTACCAGCAGCCCCCACCCTTGGACTACAGGCAGCCTCCCCTGCTGGACTACAGGCAGCACTCCCCAGACACCAGGCAGTACCCGCTGCCCGACTACAGACAGTCCCAGGTACCTGGGCCCGGGGTCCTGTCTGCCAGTCCAAGACTTCCTGAAAGGCAAGGAATGAAATAGGAGGAAGACAGAACAGGTGCCCTTCTGGGATAGAGATCCATGGCTCTGTGCCTACCTGAGATGTCATCAGGGTAACATCTGTATCCCAAAACTGCCCTGGATAAATATCTATTTCAGAATAAAGCAGAACAACCCAACCATCCATCCATCCATCTACCCATCTGTCAGCAGTGTACAGTATTCACTGGATGAGCTAATCTCTGCTGGTGTTCTGTAGCCAACTTCCAGTGCATTGCCTTATCAAAGTTTTTTAAATGCTCTTATGGGAATATAGCTGTAGCTCCATGAGAGTATGCTTGTTTAGCATCCACAAGGTCCTGGATTCAATATCAAGCACCAGAAATGAAAGAAGAAATACCTCTGACCTGGACTTCAGAGTACCACTAGTGCCAAAAATGTGGCATTTGGCAGAAGTGGAGGTCTTTAGGTCTCTAGTAACTTCCATGGCCTTCTCCTACCCACTTACCCTAGCACAAGCCTAGGATAAGGCCAGGCTTAGACTGCAAATCAAAACTCATCTTTATCCCAAAGAATCTAAGGGCAGTGAAGATGAGCAAAATTTAGACACATTGCCTTTTCAGAAGAGAAGTTGATTTTGTAAACTTCAACTTGATATTCAAAGTAAGGCCTCCATCAGCAGGCAACTGAGACAGTCAGACGCCATTAAATTTCACATTTATTTTTAGCAAGCTCTGTAATTTACACACACACTACAGCTCTCAAAGTAGTAAATAAGAAACTCAGGAGAGAGAATGTCACGTTTACTAGGCAAGGAAAGGAGAACAGAGAAGTGGACCATCGCAGCTTCTCTAATCCTGTTCCATTTCCTCCCCTCCCAAAAGGGTTTTGATTATTTCACGGTGGACATGGAGAAGGGCGCCAAAGGATTCGGATTCAGCATTCGTGGAGGAAGGGAATACAAAATGGATCTGTATGTGCTGAGACTGGCAGAAGACGGGCCGGCGATCAGGAATGGGAGGATGAGGGTAAGAACAGTCTCTCCTTACGGAATTGCCCAATTCTGAGTGGTCACCCCACTGTGGCTTGAGAGGCGAGCTGAAGCTGCTGCCTAACAGGCAAAATAGATGCAGGATTGGCTTGCTGTCCATCTCAGGCCAAAGTCTTCAGGGGTCCAAACACTTAAAAAATTACTTTCATTGGACCACAGAGATAGCTCAGCAGCATAAGTACCTGCCTGGCAAGCGCAAGGTCCTGAGTTCAATCCCTGGGACAAAAAAAAAAAAAAAATGTCTCTCACTGTTCTCCCGATGACCTTCTATCATTGAAGCTAGAAATAGTTATTTTTTTAAAGAACTAAAAAAAAATAGACAGCGTAAAGATGTATATCAAAGAGTCTGCGATGGTGATGGGACTCCTTAACAGTTTTTCTACAGTTTGATGGTTCCATTATCAGTGAAATTGAATATCTGGAAATTTATTTTTCATTTCATGCTTTCCTCCTGTGTTTATTAATCAAATAGCCCTGCATTTCTTTGGAAATACTTTTTTTGTATTGACTGGTCTTTTGGTTTTCATACTGAGTAGACAGAAACTGCAGGTGAAAAGGAAATTAGGGTTCTTGGATAGAGCTGTCCGTAAACATAATAGCCCTTAGAAACGTTTCAATTAGAGGGTAAGTTGCGACTGAATATTTTAATGTCATAATTGCTGTGGAATATGTGATTCGTGAAGTAGCTGATTTTGTATCTAAAAGTATAAAACTTGATATTATGGAACATTAGCCAATTTCTCTCCTTTCCCTTCCATCTCTCCTCTCTCTCTCTGTTCTCTCCTCTCTCTCTCTCTCCTTTCCTCCCCTCTCCTCTTTTCTTCTCTCTCTCTCTCTCTCTCTCTCTCTCTCTCTCTCTCTCTCTCTCTCTCTCCCCCCCTCAACTGGCAATCAGTAAGCCCATAATAGAGGTTTGTTATTATTATCCATGAATTCTGGGATCCATTCTTGCCTCTCTCCTTGCTCTGTAAATTAACACAGAAAAGCGGTGGCTGTGGCTTCTAGAACCACTGGAGCTTGCATGGGTGACTGACCTGCTGTTTCTACCACTGCACCTCCCATTTCTGTGATTCTCACTCCCAAGTCCAAAAATCACCTGCAGTACAGAAGTAGAAAGAATGCACATCACACCCACTTCTCTCTTCTCTTCTCGGCCCTCTGCCAAGTGGGAGGTATGGGGGCTGCCTTCTGAGCCCAGGAAAAGCTGGCTCCAGAGGCTGGTGGCCCCTGCCCTGACACCCTGCCTGCTCACCCTCTGGCTGTGCATTTAGGATGAGGCTTGCTTTATTGGTGCCTTCCCAAAGCCAGAAGGACACTTGCTTCCCGTGCTACACAGCCAGCTCGGGAGCGATTGAGTAAAACAAAATTAACCTTCGCAGCACAGGTGAAGACAGCATAGCACTGAAAGTACGAGGGAAGTGACCAAAGCACTGAGAGAAGGGTGCCACCGGCTCAGGGACCTCAGAGGTGTCCTCCATAGACTCCAGACAATAGCCACATTTTCAACAAGGGGTCTGCAGGGCTGCTTATGCTCAGCGGCATAAGCACCTGCCTATCAAAGGCAAGGTCCTGAGTTCAATCCCTGACACCAAAAAGAAAAAGTGAAAAAGAAAAAACAAGGTCTCTACTGAATATACACAGTCCATGTATACCATACAGCCAAGGAAAAGACGCCTGAGTAGAGAGGTACCCTTGTATGGAAAGCTGGCTCTTTCCAATAGAATTTAAGCAGAGCAGCCTTCCCAGCATGGCCCGGGGCACGTGCACCCCAGACTCAGTAGCCGCACAGGGATGCCGCCCTCAGAAACCCTCACCGGCTACGCCAGGCTCCCAGGACGTGTGGTGCAGGCAGAAGCCGGGAGGGAGCAGTCGTGACACCAGTGTGGCACAGGTAGGAGGCGCCTGGCTCAGGCTCCTCTGGCCCTCCCTGAACACACAGCCCAGGGAGGTTTCCGGGCAGCCTTACCCACAGATTTACGGTTCCACAGGCAGGTGCTCAACCCTATGAATGGCACTTATTCTCTGGCAGGTGATAAAATGAGTCTTCTACTTGAGTTTGAGAAAATGGTATTTTTCACACTGGCCAAAGATTATGAAAATGGACAATATTTCAACCTTTTCCATGCCATTCTTGTAAAGCAGCCCATGTGTGCCAGCTACCCAAAAGGAACTAGTATAGCCAGTTGTAGACAACATGAGTTAGTTTATCTTGGACTAATATATATGTCACTTGATTCTCAAAGAAAATGAGCCACTTGAGAGTCAAAGAAATTTCATGAATCAGATTTAACTGGTTAATTTTTATCCCTGATCTTTAAGATAAGACTAAGAGCTTGGCAGGGAAAATGGAAGACTTTTCTGCTATTTATGGATCATGGTTGATATTCAAGTGATACTGGAGATTTTCACACTCGTGGATTCTGTTCTTCTGGCTCCAGTACCAAACTGAACAATGTCCGTGGAAGGAGCTCCTTCACAGTGCACGTTGCACGAGGCTCACAGTTACCCGCTCTCAAGTTAGACAGCACTGAGGATCTACCGAGTTAAAGATCAACACCTATTCTTCACTCACAGTACATAAGTGATTTAGATTTTACTTTGATTAATTTTATTGGTGCACTTTAAGTACACACAATGATAACAGTCATCATAGGGAATTTATACCTGTACATGATATATCCTGAGTCTTTTTTTTTTTCATTTCCCTTCCCTCCCTTCAACCTTTCTTCCCCTCTTTATTAACAAAAGCTTCATTTGCAGTTTTCCATCTATTCTTTTTCTCTTTGCCTTTCTTCCTTCCCCTCTTCCCTCCCAAGTTCCCTTTCCCATCTGAACATTTTCCTCCTATTTCACAATATCTGTTGTACATTTTGGTCCTTATTTGTCCTTTTGATTCCTCACACCAGAGAAGCCATGTGGCATTTCAACACGTGTGTCTGATCCCTTCCTCTTACAAGTTTGGTGTCGAGGTGCAGCCGTCTGGCTAGAGCTTCTCCCTGGTGTGAGAAACAGGTTTCATTGTTATGTTTGTTATATTTGATCATCTAAAGCTTGTCTTTTCTATCTTCATTTGTGCTTATCAACAATTAATAATAATTCTCAGATATGTTTAAATTCTTCAGCAAGGATCAAGATTTAGCAATATTTGAATGACTTAATAGTTTTATAATTATAAAATAATGCATAAACTGAATAATGAATAGGTTATCACTTTAGAAAATCCACAATAAAAGCAGAGACCAATTCCCAGTTCATTGCAAGTTTCTTCCTTGATCCTACTGGTGTCCAATGGGATTAAGAATTAACATCTCAGAAGATCTTTTCTAAGGCGGCTGTCTACTCCATGGGTGCGACTTGGTCTGTGGATTTCCAAGGCTCCCAAGACAACACGGGTTACAATTAGCTCAAAAAGAGAACTGAGCAGCAACTTTGTCCCAGCTTTGAAATACTCAGGCCTGTTTCTCTTTGTTAGCATGATTCAATCTTCACCATTTCAATCCCTTAATTTCACCAGTGCCAAAACTAAGCACACAACAGCTGAGGCTGGAGTGGGGGCTCAGCCGTAGAGGGCTTGCATGTGTTTTCTCTCTCATAATCAGGAATGGAAGAAAAAAACCAGATAATGATCTAACAGCAGTCTACCTGAGTTTAAACCCTGTGCAGTAAAATTGTTCAAGTCACAATTACTACAAAAGAGCTGGGTGATTCCGATAATCATTTCAAGTAACACTGATGGTACTTTTGTGTTGGAGATATAAATAGTGCTACCTTTGAATGCTGCTAGGGTACCAAATGCTAGCCTCTGTGCTCGAGACTTTCCTGGGTCTTTTTGTGGGTCCAGTTTGCAGGAATTAGCAAGATTGGGCTTTGCTAAGAACACAGTGAAACTTGGGCAGTGGGTTCTGGGCGAGCTGACATCCTTCTCTTACTGGGCCTGAGAACACGTGGAACAGAGAGATCGTCTGCAAAGCTTGTCCTCAGGCATCTGTCTTAGCTGCTTTTCTCGTTGCTGGGACAAAAACACTCAACATCCAAGGTTAAAGGCGGGTTTATTTAGTTCACAGTTGATGAGGTTGCAGCCCATAATCAGCTGGCTCCAAGGCAGGGTAGCCTGGCAGAGAACAGTTCATGGTGCCCACAAGGCAGAGTTAGCAACAGCAGAGGGAAGACACCACAACTCTTTCTGTCCCATATGCTGTAGGCAGACTGCCTGCCCCAGGGTGGGTGTAGCACTCGCATCCTTAATCCCAGCCAGAACTGGGCCACACCAATCAGTGGACTGATTTACTAACCACGCACCCTTGATCCCAGCACCATCTCTGAAAAGCCCCATGACCAAACGAGGCTTGGAGGGGACATCTAGACACAAACCATAACAGTGTCCAAGAAAAATGCCCGCGTCCTTCCCACCTAGTGCTCTCTTGAGGACCCGATGAGCGTCAGACCCCAGCGGATGGGTTTCGCTCCGGCTTCCTTGCTTTTGTTTGCTCTGGTTCCTGGTGCTGACAGCAAGTAAGAATTATCTTAGCTACTCAGCAAGTTGGGTTGCTTGTCTATCAAAATGAATGATAAGTACTGCCAAAAGTAGCATTCCGAAAGCATTTGTGTGTTTACTCTGTGTGTGTGTGTGTGTGTGTGTGTGTGTGTGTGTGTGTGTGTGATAAATGCTTTCTGCTTGATGGAGAATGTCAGATCAACCAAGAATCCAAGTACAAGATCTAATGGTTTTGTCAAAACTGTTTGAGAAGGCAGCAACCTCGATGAGCAAGTGGTGAGGACTGGCTCCCCAGACAGGCGGATATCCAAGCCCAGGACAGCGTGCAGGTGAGGTTAAGAACCTTTCCCAGAGGACCACCTGGAGTCCATTCCTGGTTCTAGAATTCCTTGTATCACAAGTGTAAAATTAAGTGAACAAAGGAATTTGAAGGTTTACCAAAAACATTATTACTTTGAGTTTGCCAGAACCTCAGCTCTGCT